CATACGCACGCATACGCACACACACGCATACGCACACATACACGCACACATACACGCACACATACACGCACACATACACACACACACACGCACACACACACATACACGCACACATACACGCACACACATACACCACACACACCACCTTCACGCACACACAGACACACGCACACGCATACGCACGCATACGCACACACACGCACGCATACACACACATACACACACATACACACACATACACACCACATACACACCCATACACGCATAAACCCACTACACGCACACATACACACACATACACACACGCACACACAGGACCACACGCATACGCACGCATACGACACCACACGCACACGGCACAATACACACACATACACGCACACATACACGCACACTACACGCACCACACACGCACACATACAACACATACACGCCACACACAACAACCCACACGGCGCACTACAACAGACACACGCATCAGCACGCATACGCACACACAGACACACGCATACGCACGCATACGCACCACATACGACGCATACGCACCACTACACACATACACGCACACATACACGCACACATACACCGCACACATAACACCACACACAAAACACACACACACACCACCACAAACCCACAACACACACGCACACACAGACACCAGCATACGCACAACACACGCATACGCACACATACACACACACACACACACACACACACACACACGCATACGCACGCATACGCACACACACGCATACGCACGCATACACACACATACACACACATACACGCACACATACACACACATACACGCACATACATACATACACACATACACACGCGCGCGCGCGCTTGTTTGTTAAAGATACGCGAAGTGCTGCCGAACTGGGGGCAACCCGCTTCGTATCAGTTGCCCGCAATTGTTTTTTCTACCAGTCCGATTCACGACGGCTACTAGGAGGCAGCATTATCTATGCCAGAGGTGCGCACAAGCACGGGCTCGCCTAAGCTCCGGCATTGGCAACCGGCGAGCAACACTTTATTTCCGACATGACTCGCGCGACGGCAACAAAGACGATAAGAGAGAGAGAAGGAAGAAAAAACAAGAGAAAACGCAAAAATAAAGAAGCCTAGCGGAGAAGGCGGATGCTGCAAGGATTCGTGCCGCGCCCACTCATTGGTGGTCGCGCAACAATCTAGGCGATTGCGTGCAGTATACAAAGGAAGCGTCGACGCACGAGCGAGCTCTAAACTGTTGGCTTCTTGTTGCGACACCTCAAAAAATAGCGTACATTTTTCTATACATAACAACCGCCGAAAAAAGCGCCGTCTATGTTCCATTTTTGGCTCATTAGCATCAGCTCTTGGCTGCGTGGCCGCACTTGGAATGCGTTACGAGTTGTCTATAGCCTACCAAAAAACAAAAACAAAAAAAAAAACTCACGCGCGCGGTAAATACGCGAGTCAGTATTTCCACTTGTTTTATAGATTATTTTGCTTTGGAAACGAGAGGTATGTAGAAAACGCCGGAACAGACTTTCTATGCCAACGTCGTCTTTAGCATCCATAGTGACCTTTGGAAGACGAGCACGCGATTAGGTCACACCAAGGAGCCAGTTTTTTTTTTCGCTCCCATTTTTTAATGCCAATATGCCCATCACCGGTTACCCCTGATCAGCCGTATCATAATGCTAAGTTTCTTATTGAAATAAAAATGAATAATTGAAAGAGTTGCTGTAGCCACTCTTGGCGACGGCTACCCCTTTTCACTTGGTTGTTAGAAAAATATAAATTAAATGTTATGTATACACACACACGCATATATATATGGCTCACACTTGGTGAGTTTAATAGTTCTCGTTATCAAAGTTAATGCGCACATTTAATGTAGTTGCCTCACTGCACATCAGAAATACTATTGACGAACTCTCCCGTGACGTGTGGACGTTTCGTGTGTGTTAACATTTAAAACGGCGCGTGATCTTTCTTGTTGCGTGGGCAAATATACTGGGATATGAGGATGTTCGTTCACGAGCCAGTTGAGTTTTTTCATGATTATTGACCTGTGAACGATGAAAACCGCCTCGTAAGAGAGGAGGAGTCGACGGAGCCGCGTATATGTACTGTCCTCTCCCTAAACGCGTTTATTAAAAAGTAATATTGAGCGGTAATTTAGAATTAAGTACTTATTTTAAAAAAAAACATTGTTTTCTTCGTGGGACGACGACAACAACCCGTGGCTTTTCTGCCATCTGAAAGTGAATTTCAAAGGGCGAACATTCACATCCGCCTTCATTCATAAGAACAAGTAATGTGATTTTAACTTATCACGTTTTGTATAGCAAGAAATCAAAACGACAAAAAAAAAATCACCGTGCTCTAACCTGAGCAGCACGCACTGCTGGGCGAGTTGGTAATTCATCTTAACTGAGTGCACGAAAAAATTTGTAGTACAAAAGGGAGACGACACCTGCCATGGACACAGCGCGCTCCAGGTGTCTCCCTTTTGTACTACAAATTTATTCGCGCACTCAGTTGAGGTGCTTTCACCATTTTATACCCAAACAGCCTCTTCAAGATAACCACATTGGACACTAAATGTGGTGTACTACATTGGGTCAGAATTGTGTGCTTCGTACTCTAAGAAGCGTGTTCCTTCATCTAAAATCAAACGCCAGTGAATGAAACTACTAGATTACCGGATGCGAGAACAAATGGAACTATCTGCAAAAAAAAAAAAGTCACTCATAACTGTGACGTTTAATATTGTCAGGATTTTGGTGTCTTAGCCCGTGTTTTTTCGCTTTGCTGTGTGGCGCATATGTTGCGACACGTGTCTGTCTAAAATTTTGCGTTCTGACGTTTCAATGTCAAGCCCGCAAACGGCTCCGTTATTTCTGGCATTTACACCCAGAATAATTCCCGACATTCCCTTGTACCTCAAGTGAATGCCCAGTAATACCCACAGAAATCGATATCGGCAGCGGTATTCACTCGAAAATTTCGTAAGATTTATATTATCATATGGAATATTTAGAAACCTCGTCCGAGTACGTTTGTAGTTGCTACATTCGCGCATTAAAGTTTCAATAAATTCTTCCTGTGTTTACGCACGCAGATTCACCGAGTATGTATGCTCAGGCCCTCCATCCATTTCGCAAGGTCTGTTTTTACAGGAAGTGATTTTTTAACGCTCCTAGAACCTGTTGTGTGCGATTTCTCTCTCTCTCTCTCTCTCTCTCTCTCTATATATATATATATATATATATATATATATATATATATATATATATATATATATATATATATATATATATAATCAGTGAACTCAGTAACGATCGTGAATCTTTTCGACAAATTCGAGGACAAAAGAAAGTTCCGAACGTGCAGGAACAACTGGTTTTGCATTGTTCCGTTTTTCTTGCACAACATTGTCTGTCACGCATACAAAACGCATGCATATGTAAGACAAGTGCAGTACAGGGGCAACGTGGCGATCTCGAGAACAATGATCCGCAATACCGGCAAGCACAGCAGCACGGTTTTCTTTTGCTCTATTCTTCTAACATTCGTTTGTCGCTCGCTAGCGGAACCAAAAACAAGAAGAGGTAACGAAGAGAAGCACAGCTTCAGCGGAAGCCAAAACGAAGTAAGTCTGTAGTTTTATTTTTTTGCTCTTTCTGCGTTACACAAAAGCTATCCACGTGCACACAAAACATCTGCTCGGTAATTCTGATCGATTTCTATCTCTCTTTCTGTCTTATAGTTCCTGCTTTCTCACATGTATTTCTTTTTCTTTTTTAGGTATAGTAAAAGAGAAGCACTGACGTGTCGGACAACGCTAATCTTCACAAAATAAGTTTTCACCACGCTGTGCGAATGCAGACAAGTCGCGTGCCACCGATAAAGCAACCACATCGGCTGATGCGTCGTCCCGGCGCGCTTATCGAAGTGCGTATTTCCACAACGGGGTGTGTTGAGAACGTTATGCGACAGCAGCTCTCGCGCGACACCTGACGCAACTTTGTTTTCATTCACGATGTTTCCTTGCCGTTTTCTTCGTCTTCCTCTCTCCACTGGAATACGGTGATTCGTGCAGATGCAAAAGAAACGAAGATGGCACAAATGGCAACTCCGAAAAGGACGAAAGGTCGAGCCTTATCGTATAGTGCCGCCATTTCTTCTCTTTTCCTTATTCATCTCTGGGACGTCCGGCCAACGTTTGTTTTGCGGATAACGCGGCGAGCGCTGAAATCGAGAGCTGTAGGACAAGAAGGAAGCGCTGCATGCCCTCTCGGCAGTTACCAAGGTCTGACACCACACGGTTACCGCTGTGTTTGACACGTGGTCCGTCGATCGCGCGAAAACTACCCGGTTCCTGGTCAATATTCCGGAGTGGGTATGCGCCACGTCTTCAAGCAGCCTGACTTCGCTTTGCAGTGGTCGCGTCTGGTGGACTCTGTCGGTGTTGAACCTGTCTCTTGATTATATAGGCTCGGATGCCTGTCGTGTATTACGTCGTGTATTGTATGCAAGATAGATACCTTGAAGGAGAAAAATGGAGGCTGCAAGCTAGAAAATGTCGTTCGTCGACGACTGTTCCCTAGAACCGAGGTTTCGACCATTGGACGAAGTGATCTCCATTAAAGTTGGCCCCAGCAACGCTCCCATTCGTTCAACGACTTTTCGTGAGTTTGTGTTTTGTAAGGCGCGTAGTTACACACAGGAATCACTTATTTAACAAGTCGTGAGGCGAGTCGAGCGAATGGCAATAGTGAGGAATTCCGGGAGACGAAAAATTACGTTGCGGCCAACGGGAATTTCGTCAGTATTGTCACACTTGCAGCCTGAAACCTAGAGGTGCAGGTATGCAAAACGTATATCTTAATGACATCAATAAAGTAAAACGGGTGTTGAAACGGTCACGGTACATAAGCTATTTCGTGGATATCCCGAAGAAACGAGGGAGGAGCAAAACAAAAAAAAAAAAAAAAACTCACCGGTAGTCGAGAGTTGCAGGAAAGCTGCACCCTGCAGGAAGAGAAGCGACGTGGGGTGATTGACGGGACCGAGCGCTTGACGCCGGAGTCAACGACGGCCGGGCATGCGCTGGTGACAATCCTCCCGCCCGAATCCCATGGGCGGCGGGGACAAGACAAAAAAGCCGGTCGGAGATGACACCCAAGGTACGCAGCCCCGGAGGAAGCCGAAAACTATTCTCTTCTATTCTCCCGCACGGAAGGACCACGAAGACGGAGGCAAATTTGGTTTGGCAGTCGAAGGCCCCGACTCACAATTCGCAGATATCAGCTTCTCGCGACACTGTCTAAAAGGTGGTTACAAAAGCGTGTTAAGTTGTTATTGTTGTACACGACTGGCGTCTTCTTCGAAGGAAGGACGGTGTGCTGCTTGGGATTCGACGGTGCCTGCTTATCTCGGCAATCCCGGAGGCAACAAGTCAGAAGTGCCTGATAGGGGCACGCTTTGCTGGCTGGCTGGTAGCGAAGAATAAAATAGAGCGCGAATCCACTCCAGCGCACTCGGTCAAATCCACGCACGACGAGGGCGGAAGGCACTTCACAGGGGAACAACACTGACTCGCACGTCGGGCTGCCCAGGAAAGTGATTGCTGCCGCTCGACTTCATTAAAGAACAGGAAAAAGAACAGTGTCACGGCTCGATAAAAACACGCCACAAAATCACCACCGACCGACCGACGGCTCTCGTCTCTCGACGCCCTTCGTTGGCGCAGAAAAAAAACTCTTTTTCGAAGGCCGCCGCCGGCGCAGGCTCGTTCACGCACCGCACAGTCGCGCGTCGTCTGCCAAGGCGCGCAGCCAAAGCCGGCAGAGGAAAGGCGGTGCGCATGCGCGCGCGATGACGCCAGAGCTCGGCGGACGAATCGGATCCCTCGGCGCGGTACGGGTCAGGCGTGACGTAGCGCAGGTGAGCGCGAAAGGAGAAAGAAAAGATGAGAGAAAAAGAGAAAGCACCGCGCACGCGCCCGTTAGAAAATAAAGAAAGAAAACGGAGCCTCAATGGATAGCGATGGCAGAGAAAGAAAAAAAGAGTAAAAAAACCTAAGGAAGAATCGCGGCAGTGAAAGAGGATGAGCGAGAGGAGAGAAAGAAAAGTACCGCTGTTCCGCTAAGCGGAGGGATACAGATGTTCCGCGCTCGAATGAAGTGCGCGGCTGACGCGGGAGCCATCGGATAATACGAAACAGAGGCCAAGAAGTGTGAGGCCGTTGCTGACCGAGGCTCTCGTAGTGCCAGTTGTTTTTTTGTTTCGCCGCTTGTTGTCGCCTCTGCTTCAGCTCCTGGCTGGCGGCCAGGAACTTTTATCTAGCCCAGAATGAAATCGAAAGCTCGAAATAACCGTAAACAAACGAAAAAAAAAATAGTAAAGGAATACAAGGGTTAGAGGCGGAGACGCCAGGAAATTGTGCTTTGCTCGGGCCGCGCAAACGCTCATTTGCTCGAAATAACCGTAAACAAACGAAAAAAAAATAGTAAAGGAATACAAGGGTTAGAGGCGGAGACGCCAGGAAATTGTGCTTTGCTCGGGCCGCGCGAACGCTCATTTGCATCAGCTGCTGCTTTCTTAACGACGCGTGTACAGTGTGATAAACTGAGAAGATGCCGGAGTATGCGGCGCAATAGATAGAGCCTCCCATTGTAGTGCTTCGAGGGGTCTGGTTCGAAAAGGGGTGTGACGGATTTGTATTCATTTATTCATTCATTTATTGATTTATTTACTTGGGAATTTTCACAAAATGCCCACGAAAGGGGCCAGAGGAGAGAGTGTCTCCTGACTTGGCCGACACTTCGTAAGACACCTCGGTCAGCTACAGCAAAAAAAGCACATAGAAATATTCAATAATATACATACAAATAATAAATCAACGAGGAACAGTACAACAGTCGGAAAAATCAGTTAACTATTAAAAAAAGCTGTTGTTTAGCAATAAATACAAATAACATATATTGAAATAGATATAATTGAGTGTAATATGAAAAACAATGAACAAACAATGATTACAATAAACACATTACCGATCTTGAGCACAAGCACCCTACAAGTGGGTTTAGATTTCGCCACATAAAGCGAGTAAGAGAAAAATTGTGGAAAATTCGAAGAAGGGTTGGGTGGGAGTTTACATCGGAATGATTTCTTTATAAATACTGATTCTTTAAACATATGTGGTTGCAACACTCACAGACTACAGCAAAGTGTGCAAGCTCAAAAAAAAAAAAAAAAAAACACGTCAGGCCTGCGGGGAAGGCACAGCACAGTCACAGCGAAAGCTTGAAGAACGGCTTTTCAGGGCTTTTTCTGAACACTCCTTGGGTAACTCCTGCAAGCACACTTTCTGGGTACCTACTACGGTATTAATAAAAAGTTTAGGGCAGTAGGCCGGCATTTGCTGCGCTATCCTTCGTCCTTCTTTGAGAAACGTGGAAGCCACTAAACTATTGCGAGGAATTTTGTGCCGATTGTTCATGCAGTGGCTGACGATGATAAGGAATTATGCCTGATGTGGGTATGCGCCCCAACCAGGCTTACAAGAACAAGCTTTTGTAATGAGTTGGAGCGTTCAACGACCCACTCGTTACACTATTTACATTGTGTGACGCCTGGTTGTTCATTTGCTGTTCTAAAACGCATCGTTACTCATAATAACGCGATTCCTTTCCCGACATCAAGCCTGCCTACGGCAAGATTGCCAACAAGTCCCAAGCACCGGCGTAGCTCAGTGGTAGAATACTAGGCTGGCATCCAGCGGACCCGGGCTCGAACACCACTTTGTCATTGGCACCAGGTTTTTCGCGTGATGTGGTTACGAACACCGGTGGCGGCGTCGGCCGTGGACAACTAAGGCGCTGCGCGAGACACGAGTTGTGATCTCATAACAGCTCTCGCTGTAGAACAAAAATATACTATACGGATGTCTCAAATTCAAACATAATTTGCAAGTTATGTAACTAGTTGGACTCTGACTGTAACTATAAAAAAAGCTTCCATTTGAAGACCACGCTGGCCAATTAAATAAAATTTAAGAAAAGTCGAGACTACCACAACCGCAATCGATGGGACTCTCTTTTGAAATTTCTATTCGTGCTTTCTTTGGGACGATCAGGTCTCCTGTAGCCTCAGTGTTGACTTTGTCTCTAAATGAAACTCCGCACTTATAGAAAGCAGGTTGCCTGTAAGCTATCAAGATCGCCTTGGCGTTATCGTCTTGGTAGCATCTACCACCGCAACGAGCCACAAGTTAGTAACGAACACTGTTTCAGGGAGACAAGAGGGTAGAGGAGGCTGGTAATCGTGATATATATATATATATATATATATATATATATATATTGTAACGCGGAGAAATAAGACAAAGAGACAACGCCTTTGCTGCAGGCCGGCTGTTCTTTATCTGCTTCCTCTTCGTCGTCTTCCGTCTCTCCCAGGTATGCGCCGAGCACGATCGCCGCTTTGTCATCATTACACTCGGCCACGCTGCAGCTGGTCTACTCCTGTAAGAAAAACACAAACCAATGTCACGTTTGCCGCCGTATGCAGTTCTTCATCCGCGACACATGCACCGCAAAGTTATTCCGTTTTCTCTTGTCTCTGCGCGTATCAGAAGCTGTGGATCGTACTCGCCAAGTGTTATCTCCCAAGCGCTCAGAAATAATGTAAGGGCCGTCGTACTTTGGGTGCAGTTTGTTTGAAGACGATGGCGCACCTCGCTGTAGCCACACCTCATCACCTACACTGTATTTCGGCGCGGGACGGTGGCGTCGGTCGTAGTATCGCTTTTGTGCCTGTTGAGCATGCACAATCCTCCTACGCGCCTCCACACGGATATCGCGACAAAGTCTCTGGCGTGCAGCGGAACGCCCTACTTTAACGGGAGTGTCCAAACCGAACGTAGCATTCAGTTGCGGGAGCTGACCATAGACAATCTCGTAGGGGCAAATTCCTGTGGAGCTGTGTGCCGCCGTGTTCACTGCGTACGCAGCTGCTTGGAGATGATCATCCCAGTCGGCCTCACCTCGTTTGTGATTCTTACAGTACGGTGCGAGTCTAGCCTGGATAGTCTGGTTCGACCTTTCGGTCAGTCCGTTCGCCTGCGGATGGTATGCCGACGCGAAGTGATGGTCCACTCCAGCTTGTTGTAGGTAAGTGCGGAGCTCGCGACTGCGAAAGGTGGTCGACCGGTCGGAGATCAACTTGTTAGGAAGACCGTGTCGCCATTCGAAGCGATCTTTCAGGAATCGGATGACATGGCTAGCAGCAAGCGAAGGCACGGCCGCGACCTCTACGAACTTGGACAAGTAGTCCACAGCGAGTATAATGTAACGATTGCCCGCTGTCGTCATTGGAAGAGGCCCGATGTGATCTATGCCCAACGTGTGGAAAATTGTCTCTGGAGGCTTGATCGGCGTAAGAAGTCCATGTCGAGCTCCAGGACGTCGTTTGTGTTGCTGACAAATCTCGCAACTGGCAACGTATGAACGCACGCTTTTATCCATTTTCGGCCACCAAAAACGTTCTTGTGCCTTGCGTAAGGTGGCTCTGTAGCCAACATGGCCTCCCTCGGGAGTGTCATGGATGGCGCGTAGTACGCTCGATCTTAAGGTGTCAGGAATGACCAGGAGATGACACTCGGTGCTTTTATCGGCCCAGTGCGCCGAGCACGATCGCCGCTTTGTCATCATTACAATATATATATATATATATATATATATATATATATATATATATATATATATATATATATATATATATATATATATATATATATATATATATATTATAAGGGAAAGAAGTGTATACCTAAGGGCTCATTTTTCCGTCTTTTAACACAATATTAATGAGATCTAACAGACAGTAATGCCAAGGAATGTACAGGGGAAGTCATTAGAACCAATGGAATGTAAATAAGAAGAAAGAAAAGTGGATGAAAAAGTAACCAGCCGTGAGCAGGAATCGAACCTACGACCTTCATTTGGTTAGAGCATCGAACGCGTTATTCGAAGGTCGTAGGTTCGATATCGCCACAGTGTTGTACGTGCATTTATATCGGCTTCACGAGCGACCCTTGGCCTTTGTGAAGAGGACTTCTTCGCTGTTGCAGCGGGATACTTGGTTCGAGAAAACAGATTTTTCTATTCTCTTGTGTTAGTAAGTTTTCTCTTTGGCGCTGCCGTTTTGTTCAAACCTTTCAAGTTTACCTGTACCTTGCAACAGTACACGGCTACGGAACCTATACGCCTTGCTAAAAAAGGTCGAATTTCAATTTGACGATTTAAATTGCCGATTTTTCCTACTTAGCTATATTGAGGTGTAGCAGGTCATTTGCTTATAAAGCAGCTTATTTCTTCGGGGATATTATGGATGCCTGTATGCCTTCGGTCAGTACTGCCGCTTATCATCCTAGAAATAACAGATTGATTATGACGAAATGAACACACAAGTATCACTCGCCCTAGTCCTCTAAACAACATACAAGCAGGGTCAACGACGATTACTGATGAACTCTTGTTAAAGCGATTGCAGAGCACTTTTGTCAACTTTGGAAATGTAACGGTAATGTAATGGCCGTAGAAAGCGTTCCACCCCGAATTTTCAAGTGTTAAGTGTAAATGAACAATTGAAGCTGTGGTAACAACAGAAGCAACGTGAATAACGACCACATTTCATGATCAAGGGCATTAGAGCAATGTGTTAGTGTACCGGTCGTGCAAAGCCGCAGGTAACGCATTGAGATAAACTCGCGCTGCGCATAACCTACCCCAGGGTTCTCGGTGA